TGGTATTAACGATAACTCGCTATAACGATGAAAATGTGACCTAACGGGAGTATCGTTATATCCAGTCTTGACTGTACTTCAAAAACTTGCAGCGCATTCAAAAAATAGAGGGCGAAATTGTGGAACTGTAATAGCGTCTTCCTCCGGGCATTGCTTGATGGAGCCTTGATTCTCTCCGGAGAAATAGTAGTATTGATATGTTACAATCCATCGTTGCTTTAAACTTTACTCGTAATAAAATCTCGGCTTCTTGCTCTCTACAACTCTTTTGGAGGAACCCTTCCCTGTTGTCTCGTCTCGTCTCGTGTACATTCAATTGAACGCGTCATAATAGACTTTGCTCTTCTACAAATTCCTTGGTGGTCTTGGTGTTCTATATATACTGCAAATGTAACTTACGCTGCTATAATGAAGATTTTCTCAATTTCAATGTCTTTGTCTTTACCATTATTATCAGAAGTTTGAATTTAAAATACTAATATTGATATCAGCGAGGTATACACTATAGAGTACGACTTTACTGCCAAGCTACGCAAGGTATGCGATAAAGCTAAAAAGTATTGCTAAACCATATGAAAAGACTTGGTATCAATTTGTTGTTTGAAGGAAAAGCCGTTGCTGTTTCCCCAATACAGAATTTCTACCCACTAAGAACATTGCAAAATCTGAAAGTTGATTGATAAAGAAAAACGTAAAATAATTTTAATCAAGGTAACATTTATGACAGTAATACTATAGACTACTAATAAAAGGAAATGGATTTTAATTTACTGTTACATTATTTCACTCTTCGGTTGCAATCGCGTCAAATTGTATACTTTTGTTCTATACGATACAATTGCAAATATTACTGTCGTGCCAGCTAACTGATCTTGAGATTTACTGTGCTTAGCCTTAACTTTGAGAAGCTTTCTTATATTGTTGGTAGCAATAAAGTTTTTGGCCTACGTTTAATCGCGTTCTTGCCGACAATAATCCTAGCCTTGAATTCCGTCTTCTCATAGATGGTATATATTTTTTCTAATAACAAGAAAATCAGTACTATGTTTTCCGACTTCTATTGCAACCGTAAATTACAGTCAGACAAGTTGCTGTAAATAGCAGCGAAGGGGTTATTGTTATTATTATTGCGATTCCTAATCAAGTCTCCGTCCGTCTTAACAAATCTGTGTTGAACAATTAAAGACATTCTAATGTTCCATGGACGGCTTAATATGGATGAAACCCTAGAGTTGCCATGTTACTTAGTATTATCTTTGAATTTTTGAGTTGTCTGATTTCGATATCTTTCCCTCATAAGAACGTATCTCACATGACTTCATGAATACTGATTGTATAACTTGCATTTAATATTAAAGACGCGACAGGAAAGTTTACTAAACGTATATAGAATAATTAAATGACGTCTTCAAATTGCAAGTACAGTGACGAGCCCTTACGCAACAAGCCGTAAATTACGTAGTTACATGTTTTTTCTTTGACTATAATAATAATGGGATATTCATTATTACGCTATGTGAGAATCTGAACTAGTAGATTAAATTAAAAGCTTTGGTACTAATAGTACATTCTTTTCTTACGCAAAAATTTGTAAACCACAAATGACACTGTCCAGCCTTACGAATTCGCGCTCTAGATCACGTTTACTGACTGGGCTGCTGGTCTGAACATTCCTGAATGCCGTTTATAGTGTTTCTAGTTGTGTGAATTACAAATTAAAGTTCTTTGAAATTTATAGCACGGTTTTCTAGTAAATGCTCTATGTCTCCAGATATGTCTCCAAATATGTCTCCAGACCATAAGATTGACTACCCGAATCCCATCATGATAAATTGGACATTGCGTGCAATCTTTATCAAAAACGGAGTTTTTATTGTATGACGCTATTTAACATAATTATGTATTATTAATTTTAAATTTAAAATTAAATCAAATAGCGTGTGCTGTCCGTCCTCTAGGTCAAAACATATTCTCTACAATATCTTACACCTCTTTCTACTATTTTATAATCATCGAATTGAAATATTTTTTAATTCTTTCCGTCCGTGAGCGCTTCCAACTCCTTCCTGCCCCTCATCTCTTTCTCGCTCACGCTCGGCATGCTTAGCTGCCTCCCTGACAGCAAACTGTTCCCACCGGTTAGTAGTAATAAATGGATGATTTAGTGCTTCCCTTGCACTAGCTCGCTTCTCTGGATTGAGATCCAACATTGGTAATAGAAAGCCCGCCATAAATTCTGATTCATCTGTTGGAAGAAGATATTTCTCACTAAGCACGTCAGCCAGTTTCCAATAGCGAAGTTTATGAATATGGCGCAGTTCACCTATTATAAAAAATAACAATGTTAGAGTTGAAACAATTTAATCCAAAATGAACTCTCGAATCATTGCTCATTAACATGCTAAATAAATAGTAGCTGCAGAAACCTTTTCTATTAAATATTTCTGAAGAGTATTTGCCAGCCAACGCCAGGTGTTTCGGAAAATTTCCCATTAACTCTATTATCTGGGCCATGTGATCTAATGAATGGGAAACATAAGCAAACATGTCAGAGTCTGCCGTGCGTATTAGCATATATGTTATTTATTAGGAAGCTTTATTAATTCTTGCCGTCATCTTTGTTATAGCGTGCTCCGGATATTGGATCAAATAAGTAGTCACCGGTCAAAAGCTCGAAAATCTAGAAATAGCGAAAAAGGATTTATGAGTGTAATGAGAAATAAAAAAAGACTACGATCCGTTCAACAACCGCGTTAACAAATGAAAATTTTAACCATAAGTTCGACGCCAACCGCCAACCACCAACCCCATGCGAAAATTTTGACCATTAACTCACCATGCAGGCCATACTCCAAATATCCGCACTCGGGCCCCACCTTGCGCCTAGGATTACTTCCGGACATCTATATTGTCTAGTTTGAATATCGTTCGTAAAATGATGATCGACCCAACAAGCATTCCCCAAATCAGCAATCTTGACCGTAATTGTCGCAGGCGCCAGGTATTTAGATGTCCGTGTAGCAGATGACTGCCTTTTAATCGATCCCGATTTCTTAGTCGGCGTATTAGACGTATTTGACGTACTTGCCGTTTTCTGACGTGGACTTGATGTGTCGACGAGGGAAATGTCATTAAAATTGCGTTCCAATAAATCGCTGTTCGACATTGTACCACATGATAAATATTGTCGATAAACAGACAACACGGCAACAAATAATAAATGATGATAGTAAGAAAGGATACAAGGGGGAGTATAGGGAAGCAATAAGGATCCTTACTTACGTCGACATTGGGCTACTAACTATATCAGATGTTTCTGTATCAGCTTTTAAAATATAGTTCTTTTCAGAATTTACGGTATCTTCTAAGCCATTCATTGGCTCTCCATTTGAAACTTCTTTGGATTTATGTTTTTGTTTAGTCTTTAATCTTGATGAACTAGATGGAGGTTGTTGGAGTTGTATTGTATTAAAAGAGGAGATTGTCCCAGGCGTTGGTATTGAAAGGGGCTGACTGGTTGTAATGCGAACGCCTCCAGCTTTCTGATATGGCGGTGTAACCAATGGTCTCCCGCTCCTTGCTAATTCGTTAGCAATAACTTCTTCGACGTCATCTACACATACCAATACATTCTCTGGCTTTAGATCCGTATGAATGACACCACATTCTCTGTGCATATAGTCCAGTCCGAGAAGCACTTGTTCAGCTATTTGTTTGACTAGATGATGGGGTATGCCTTGGTGTTCGTATCGTTTTATCAAACTTAATAAATTCTCGCCCAGTACTTCGAATACCATACAGACATGTGTACCATTTGGGCCTCGATGTTTAAAGTGGTCGAGCAGCTCCACAACGTAACGCCTACCCGGTGCTTCGTGATTAGTATTTACTATTTTTTGGAGAAGTTTAATTTCGTCTAAGGCTGTTTCCGTGTAGTGTTGTGCGGATTTGACTATTTTGAGGGCAACGTGGCGATTGAGGCTGAATAGATGCAAAGATGAGCATTTAGTTGAGTGGATTATTGAGAGTGTTTGATTAATAATGAGCACCACGTTATAAAAGGTGTAATTATCGGGTACGCATATATAGACGTGCAATGCATAATATACTCTGCTCTATGCTTGTCATAAGCCCTAATCTACTCACCGTGTATCTTTTGCCAACCATACAGTAGAGAAGTGCCCCCAACCCAGTTTCCTAACTACCACATATCTCCCTTCATTGAATGTATCAGCTATCTGTACAGGATGATATCCACCTTTGACATAGTCCTCACGATCTTCCTCATCTTCTGTTATAATAGGCTCGACCTCGACTTCTGGTGAAGGAGTTGAAGAGGGTGTTGAGTGGTCTGTCTTTGTATGGCGTGAATGCGTAGAGTAGGAGGAGGGATACCTGAGTGAATTGGCGAGTAAGTCGTGCTAATATTAGTGAGAGTTGGAAGTGACGGTTGCTAGCAGTGCAGACGATTTTGGTGCAGTTTAATGAAATAATGTTTAATAATTTCATTTAATTACACTTGTATAAAGTCGGTCTTGTATGTTTAAACTTACATTTTTGAAGAGTGAGGGGAAGTGGAAGAGATTGGAGAGCTAGCGGAGGGTCGTGCGGTTGGAGTAACAGGCATCGTAGGGGATCGCAAGGTAGTTTCGGCTTTCCGTCGCCGCTTCTTTTGTACGCTTGGTTGCTTTGCCCTTAACACAGTACCCTGTCGCCTTTTATCTGACATCTGCTGATAAATAACTAATAAGCTAAGCCGTTACAGAAAGGAAATGATGGTTGCGATTTAATATGTCAATTGATCTGAGGGAGGAAAAATGGGGAAGCAGTGACGTCAATTTACACTGAAACATAGGCGTGATTGGGTGTGGTAGGATGAAAAGATGGACGGTTGCATGTGTCATTGTCAATTAGAAAAAATGAAGCATAAATTTACACAATGGAACAATGTTAATTTACACTGGATTATTTTGTTGGTACCAGATTTTCTGAAACTTAGACTCCTGTTCATTCATTCACAAATCACGTGAATGTATTAATAGATATGCAATGTTACATCACGTGTATTTTGTCGCATGTGTGAGATGAATTCTGCAGAGTGAGATCAAAAATGTATAACGTGAAACTTGCCAATAAAATGGTTATGAAATGGGTGATACTTCAATCAAAGACATTAATATGAGCTGTCCGTTTACGAACCTTACGAAATGTACTTTCCACACGTACTTTCCACATGATATCTGTCGTACTTTCAGAATGAGAGAAATCGCTGCCCGACTTTTATTAAAAATGACAAGTCAACTATACCCATAATAAACTATATAAGACTTTCTACTGCACTAGTGCAGATTCCGCCCTACATTATCATAATCTCATTATTGCGGATTGTCAAAACAAGCGCTCTATTAAAGCCTCCTGAAATCTTTCGCCATTGAAGCATGTCTTATTGTTTGCTATCCTCTGTCTCCTCTCTAATTTCGTTATAGCAACTCAAATGATAAAATAATAAAACATAGACCACAAATTGATAAGTACGTGTAAATCCTACCATCTTGGGACACAATCATATCGGATTACCTAAGTGTCATCGAAGGCCTCCTAATATCTAACTACTTTTCTTATTATGGTAATTGGTATTCCTCAATAGTAACAATTCCTTATGCTGCGATGCATAAACGGTAACAAAGGTTTATCATAATATTTCGTTGTTCTCATTAAAAGGTACGACATTCTTGCCTTGATTATTTTGTTTAATAAGTTAAGAGCATTTGGTGGCTGCAAAGAATCGCAAATAATTTTTAGTGTATTGTTACCTGTGAGAAATTATGCCTATTATAAAAACTAATGTTCTACCAATATTTAATGAGAGAATTAATTTACACATTCACTGTGTTAAGTGTCATATGTGTCGCGTTGACATACAGTATTATCTGACCGCTGCATGCGCATCACAATATGTCTTTCGTAATTTCAGAACATCTGCTTTCTAGTTTTCAATAAATTTAGTAAAAGCATCATCAGCCAATGTCTGTATTTTGATAACTCCAGAGTTGGCTACTTTAACAAAAAAAGAAAAAGAAAAAAAAAGCAATCTGTAAAGAATTTTTGAAAATCCAAGTATAGAAACCTCCATTTTTGCTGTTCTATCCACACTCCCCGGGAACAAGTATCCGAACAAAGTTTTTCTTACTTTACGCAAAGTTTAATGGGTAACAGTGATAGAAGAAATTTATATCAATTTGTAGCTTAGATTTTCAAGTAAATTTTGAAGCATTTAGCTTTCGACGGCAATAAATGATTACAAAAAAAGTAATTGCAAGTAGGATAAATTTTTATTTTATATTTAAGAGAGAATTGATCTTGCATCTTCAGTTAAACACGACGAGATGCTTTTCAGGAAAAGGTATGAGCCCATTAGTACAAGTAGATGGAAGATGAATCACCAGGATTACATGATAAACAGATAAAACCTTTTGCCATTAATTCAAAGTGACTTAATGATAAAGGTTATGCTTTCAAGATGACAACGCCCCTGTGCATACAGAAAAAATTGTTGTCAATTGGATTAAGGAGAAGAAAATAAAAATTCTACCTGATTGGCCGTCTCAATCTCCTGACTTTAATCCAATCGAACACACATTTGGAATAAGCTTTAAAAGCATCTGAAAAACCGTAAACAACATTCCCAGGAGTGGTCAATCTCTTATGAAACATATTCTAATTTAGAGCATGCCAAGAAGGCTAAATAAAACTTAAAACCTAAAGTTCGATTTTTGCTTTAATGTCCGCAAAAGCTGAATGCATCAAACCTAAGCCACAAACCGGCATAAATTTCTTTACTCGGCACACAAGCTACTAATACTAATGGTTTTCAAAACCAACGCCGCAGTTGAATTTAGTATGTACCATAAAATTTAGTTTAATTCTCGGTTCATGTTAAATGACTAACTGTAATAGCCATTCCACGTACGAAGACGATGAAGCTACAATCAATAAGAAAACAAATTTTACTCGTCAGATATTTGGTGTGGAATAATTATTATTAAATGATGAAACACGTTGTCTATTATGGTCCACATATTTTATCAGCTTGTTTACCAAAGAAAAGGCTTTGACTTTATAAACTACGTTACACAAAGGTCTGCAACTAAATGAAAACATCATCGCTTTGATAGGATTGTTGTGCAGCCAGTCTCACTGCCATATTTTAAATTCCTTGTAGCATGTGTAGTGTGCTTACAACCATTGTTCCATTGCAACTGTCAGCATGGGTAATTGATAAACGTCTCTTCTTAGCTAAACAGGGCAAGATAGCATATGCTGGCCAAGAAAGTCTAGGAATCTGAAGATGGTCTACTGACTAACACGTTTGAATATTATGTCCAATACAAAGAAGCATTTCCGTGTTTATACCTCTTCCTTTGCTGAAACAATATGGGCCTCAAAACAAAAATAGACTATAAGCAAAAGACAATTTGTGTAAACAACCGCGCGTTTTACTGGGGTGAGGAGATATTCAAGCATTGTCGTGGCCGGGGCATTTATTTTATTTCTACTCCTCGGTTTTTCTTTTATAATTCCAACCGCCATTAATTTCGTTATAGTACATTTAGCTGTCGTATTTGCGGGATTTCATTTACTTAACAACAAGAAAGACCAGTTTTATTACGCAGAAGTCGGGCACAATTCTGAAGTAATAGAACAAACAAATAAATGATAGCAAATTACATAAATAAATGAATGAGAATAAATAATGTACTCTTGCGATTGGTAGAACTAACAAAGCGACAGGTTCTACGACAGCAAAAATTTATATTTAAATGCTTAGTCTTGTAATACCACGGATCCAGTTCCACTCAGCAAGCTATTCAGAAGCGTTCCCAACATATACCCTCCTTTAGCAAGCTGCAGATCGATGTATGGAACAACCGAGTCATAATATTCACCGTCTAAATCCGTGCCTGGATTATCAAGAACGTAACTCCACACGATCTTACAATTGAGAGCATTGCTATCCGCAGCCCATTGTAATGGACATTGTGTAGTTGCTTTAAGACCCCCTATACATGAGACCCAGCCAGATGAAATGTCTTTGTAGTCGCCAGACATGATTGCGGAAGTTAGGTTCGCAGCATATGCTTCGATAGCGGCATCAATAGAACCTGAGAAATCGTCTAGTCGTTTGCGGACCTGGGGAGTAGGGAGAGGAAATAAGTGTTTGAGTTCAATCTTGCTATTGTTATCAATTGGTGGTAAGCATGCATCCGATTTCAACCACTTGATTAATTGGAGTATGGCTGTATTTACAAAAGCTACATTGAAGACAAGTAGCGAGCCAATTGTATTGGTTGAGCAAGCATATAATATTACTTACCATATCGCTGTCCCAGATGCCGTGGAGGTTTTCGCTTTGTCGTCCATCGAATATGACGTGGTGCTGTCGTTGTAAATACAGTCAGAAATATTAATATGCCACGACAAAGGAGGGCTATCGTTTATACGAAATACATACACCGTTTCCTCCTATTTCTCTTCCGCATACGTGTAACGCTGGTATTAATTATAAGTCTGTGAGCAACGTTGTTACTAACATTTTGTCGCTCTTGTTACTTCTGATACTACTTACGTTGCGTTATGTCTCCCAAGAAATGAGTGAGGAATCTGAGTGCAATGCTCCTTTCTGTGAAGCTAAGGCCGCTTGAACTGTCTAATCGAGATGTGTAATTGGCAATGGCTGAAACAAATAAAAGAATAGACCCAAAACGTTAACTTATGGTTAACTATAAATATTAATTTTTCGTATATATATTACTTGCCTCCAACAATGCAATTTCCGTCTTCGCAATCACGGTCCTACAAAAGACATTGCGAAGTAAGTCCACAGCAATTAAGTTTCAAAAAAATACGTCTTCTAGCCGAACTGTCCTTACCTCTGAAACATTGCAAGTTGTCGTCGGATCATCTTGAGTGTCAATGTAGTGAAGTTTCGCGGACCAACTCCACAAAGGGTTCCTTTTAATTGTATCAGCCCACGTAGATGCATTTTCCAATGAACGGTAGGGACCAAGTAACGCATTCACTTGATTGTTTACATCACTAGTGAGAAAGTTTTGTGCTATACGTCCCACAGTGCGGTGACCTTCATTACCCCAAGAATAGGTGACGGGAGTAAAGCAAGCCAGGAGAGCGAAAATGAAGAACAATTTCATTTTTCCAGGAAGAAAGGAGAGATGAGATTATTCTGTACATTGATACGGAAAAAGTACTTAACTATTCCAATTAGTCAACCTGTGCCTCAATGACATGACACATAATTGGAAGTAAATACTCTGAGCATGCTCTATAAAACTGATCTCATAGAGAAGTACAATAAATGTCCGAGCAAATAACACAGCGAATTCATCGTTACTCAGATTGAATAACACTGATTTTTAGATGGCCAAGACATTATTATTATTATCACTGCAATGGGAAGACAATGTGCATCGACAAACTGATTGTCGACTTCCCGCTGAAAGAAGTAAGCACTTGCCAATATTAAAGATTCAGTGGTACAGTCTTGACTTAGAAAGTGACATATTGTAATTGGTCAGTTCCGTAAAACGTGTGATTTGGACACATAGTAATAGGTGGACTGTAGTCAGACACTAACTTCCATTGTGCTGAGCCGCAGAACAACTTTAATATTTTCGTTTCGAATGCCACATACTTAGCCTTGAAGCGTCGAATATTGTCAGTGGATAAGAAAATGCGCCGTTCTCACACTGAGCTTAATTTTATTGGAAAATAAACTAAATAAACTAAATTAGTGTTTCCCTAACTACAATATGATTGTGATCGAGAACAAGAACAATAAGAATAAATTCGATTCTCAGTTTCTTTTAGTTAGGATCTCAGATAGAGATAGTTCATTCTAAGAACAATCCAACTATTGAATGCTAGCATGTAAGTAATTATGCATGTTTTAAAAATGTTAGCCAGACTTTGGTGGACAAAAGTTTTACATCTTGAGATTAAGGTAGTAGAGACAGAAGAAGTAATGGAGTCGAATTATCATGTTATTAACGACGTTGTGAGTAGTCGACGAGAATTACAGTAAACTAATGTTGGTTAATAACTGCGATAACAGCATTAGAGGGCCAAATTTAACCTGAACAGATATAAATAACGAGAAACAGCCTTGACGACCCGCCAGTTGAATTGCTACGTTATAGTGATTAACCATGCATGATATTGAAATTATTAATGCAAAGGTGGTATGCACAATCATGATTACTACTCCCATTGATATATATAGCCTTGCATAATAATTGTATTTTCTTCAATTAAAGAAATAGTGGGTTCTCATTCACAAATGTACATATAGACACTTTACATCTAACAAATTATAATAATGTTATTGCTTTAACATAGCGACTCTTGCATTATTCTGTTTAAGTGCAATACATGTTAAAGTATTTCCTGACAAGTGTGTCAGAACATAATATGAAATCTCATCATGATTATTAGCCTCTTCATGTTTATTTGCTGATGACTAATAGGCTATGCTACTCTTTAAGTTATAACATGTCCCGCTCCAGTAAAGATACTTATCAAAACTATATATAGGACTACCTGTATATGATAAATAACGAATATAATGGCGCGTTTCTTGGAATTAGGTTGCAAGTGTGGTTGTTCAACAACGATCCCGAGAAAAAAATTTGCCGAGTTACGTGAAGCGTCAAACCCTCTCTAGATCCGAGCAAGATATATTTTTAATGGCCCAGCTAAAAGCAATGAATGGTGGAGAAATAACTGCCAGTCAACGTCTTAAAAAAAACGCGTACCAATAAAAAAACTTTTTATTATTGAGATCTCTGTGTCAGAAAACGTATATCAATATGTTAGAAATTGGTCACAATCATTTCTAAACCGTTTTTGAAATCACTTGGAAACAAATGGTATAATACCACGTGTTCATGGTAATGTTAAAAGAATGCCGCGATGGAAAACCATTGATATAACCGTTGCCACCGCCGTGAAGAAAACTATGCTGAGATCAATGGACTACCAAGTCTGGTAGAAATGTCAATTGCATTACTCAATCGCTTACACTTTTGCCAGCTGAAACAAGTTACAAATCGGTCTATCGTGATTTTATTGCAGGTCTCGAAAATGATAGCACGTTGAAATCGGTAAAATATGATGCGTTCCGCAAGTTATGGCACCAATTAACGCCTTATATTCAAATCATGAGTCCAAAACGGATATTTATGTGACACGTGCCAACATAACCAAGAACATTTAGTTAAGGCCAAATTAGAGAGAAACCATTACAACAAAAATACAATCAACAGAACAACAGAGAAAGTTGGTAGATGAGCATTTCATAACAAGAGGTAAAGCTGATTATTGTGCGTTGATGCTACTGCTCAAAACGTTTACGTACCCCATTGCGATCAACAGATTTATTATCTCAGTCCACGTAAAGTGCATTTATTTGGTATTCAAGATGAAACAGTGCGCGAACAAATTAATTACACTCTCGATGAAGACGAAATTATCGGCAAAGGCCTAATACTAATGATACGCTAAGCATGGTATTCGATGGAATAAAGAAATTGAATAAAGGCAAAAAACATTTAAAAGTTACCTGTGACAACGCGGGTGGTCAGAATAAAAATAATGCCACCATTTGATTTTACCTATATTTAGTAATTTGCGGTTATTATGAAAGTATCGAATATTTCACGGTACCTGGACATACTAAATTCAAGCGTGATGGTAGCTTTGGTTGATTAAGAAACTGTACCGCAAACCGACTGTAGCTTGCATGAATCATATTGTTGAGATTGTGAAAGATTGAGTACAGCTGGGTTAAATAAAGTTCGGTGTTATGACAATGGAAAAGGCTTTCAATACTTAGATCTTAATTCCGTGTTGGGAATTTCTTTAAGAAATTGAAATGGTTTACAAAAATATCGGCATTTTCTTTTTAAAGCAGCTCGACCTGGAGTTGTCAAAGTCGCTAGCGGCCAAGAAAACACGCATACGTTATTGAAGAGACGCCGCATTATGCCTGGGAATACTATTGGATTGAAGCTAGGACATGGGACCCTAGATAGCAACGGTAAGTACACAGCTTGTCCGACATGTATCAGCTGAAGGAGAGAAAAAGATGCTAAACAAGCACTTTAACACACATGGATTAATTGGTTTATTTAGTGCGACTAAATGACTTTATTTTAATTTGCACATTGCATATTATAGAGACATAGGCAACAAAAATTTATATATGAGGTTATCAACATTTTCTTTACGTAGGATTGAGACTCGGGCGATTTCTTCTCGCCCTCAAAAACTAAAATGAATTTTATTCACAAAAAAACGAGCAAGAGCCAGACGCGGTATGAATATGTAGATAAATGCTGTTAACAAATTATCTGCGACAATTAAGTAGACGCTTGCTGCCAAATTTGTTTTCATAGTAGATGTCCCCGTCCACGATTAATATTCTAAGACATTTTAAATGTCTATTATTATTATTGAGACGGAAAAATGATTTGCGTCAGATATTCTTAATTTGATGAGGAATTTAGATCGAATAGGATACGGGTTCTTGCGCTTTGGCGTACTTGTTTCCTCAACCCGAGATATAATGCTGAAGCCAAAAGCGATACAACAGGTACTAAGACAAGCGACGTCAGGCGGAGTGCGCGCAACATTGTAAGCAACCAAACGACCTGTTGAAGTCTAAATATCATTCCATTGAACACTTACCTTCCTTCGCATTACTCTTTAGGCTTCTGAATTCTGAAGGCTCTCCAATATCGTTTGTGGCAGAAACGGACCGGGAGGCAAGAATATATGCTGCCATTGCATCA